ATGAAAGGTGGGCGTCTTGCAGTTGTCTTTTTTGTCATCCTCATCATGTGTAACCCATCGCTATTGCAATGTCCTAATTTGGAAAACTAATTCAGAGACGATGGTTAACCGTCAAAAAAGCCATTCCATTTTACATGCCAAACAAGCACGTTTAATTGCACTTGCAATCTCAACAAATGAAAACGTTGAGGAAAAGCTTTCGCTCATTTGTAACCGGCGGCAATCAGATTTTCTGTGGCTGCCGTGAAAGAGATATTCATTAAATTCCATTCATTTCATACAAAGTTTTTCAATATTTGGCACAAACTATATAAAACACAATTCTTCATCACAGTCGAATATCATTTTTGACAATTTTGGATGTTCTGGGACTATCAGGACAAAGTAAATCAACAATTTGTAATCAGCTGTTCGAAACATCGGCTCAATTTTAAGATTCAATGCTTACATGGGATGGAAATAGATGTTCTAATGACGAAACAAGAACGATGTTTGAACCAACTACTGCAGCGTTGGCTTCGACGCATAATAATGGTTAAATTGCTAAACTACATAAGAAATGACTCTAGTCTAATCCTCCAAAGGTGACCTTTGTAGATATAAAAATTAAGAAAATGAGATAGGATCTGACACAGACACTAACCAAACATAAACCGTTCACTCTAGTGCATGAATCTCTGTAAGGGAATCGAAACATATCAGACATCGACCAGTAAACTAACGTGCAACAAGGAGGAACAAACTAGCGGCAGATCTGCTGCCAGAGATGAACATCCCCTTCTACGATACAGTAATCCGCAGCTTACAGCAAGTGTTTTCAAACTAGCTGTGAGCGAATATAACGCATATCAGAAACCAGAGACACTCTGTTAATGCAAAAGACTTAAGGTGATAATCACAGAAAGACAAACAAGTACGAAAAAATAAAAATTCGAAAAACTTTACTAAAGGCAAGCGTTACGGATAATCATAACATGATAAAACTACGCCACTAAGTCAGCCGACACAATAGACAATGTTGTGGTGGTCTGAAAAATTTAAAATTCACAATTATTCAATTTTAGATTCAAATAACAGGAAGAATCTTCATTCAATTCAATTACGAATTCAATTCAATTATATTCATTCATGTGATATGGATTTTGTTACATTTTCGCCTTCAACAATATTCAAAAATAATAAAGAAAATAACGCTGATGAATATTAGATACGACAATTCAGTTACGACGATGATTCTGATGACACGGTTCGACTGCTTATTAATGTTACAGCATCTCTTTACACGGTAAAGACTGTACTGCGTTTGAACATGAGCTCTACTGCATTTTCTGTTAAACTTATACAAGACTGCTCGACTCATTATCAACGCTGTGAAAAACAATTTCACACTGATAATCAGTTAGATTATTATACGTAAAACAGTGATTTAATGCTCAATGGTCGGTACAAATCGATAAACTAATAAGGATTTGCTTGTCGTTCTCAAAAGTGAAATGATCTGAGTTCGCCATTCATATTTATCCCTAAACATGGCATAATGACGCACCGTACCCTGAATGGAGGACCAAAACTGAATGCGAAATGAACACGACATTCACAGTGACAACTAGCTATTTTTTCAGATATCCTTAAGAATAGGACATCAATAACTTTAAAAATGATACACTTTAATAATGGTTTAGTTCTGGATGGCGATAATAACAGGCAGCATTCGCAAGTTTTTTCATTTTTAATCAGAATCAAAAACCTGAAAACAACAATTCACAAGCAGTTTTACGTAACCCTGATGTATTACCAGTTGTAAGTAACGAAGTATGTCTGTGAACAGAAGGAGATCGTTGTTCTGTGAGCGTTTTCTATCTGCGATCAAACTTTCAACCAGCAAACTCAAGATTCTTTCAATTCTTATCTACGAATCAAGAACAGCTTTAAAAGTAAAAAGCAGGATTGAAAAGTATACAGAAAGTTAATATTTGCACACTGTATGAAGTTTACTTCTTAAATACTCTTCTGAACTTTTACCACTTAAACAATAAATGTATCTCCACCAAAAATGTCACACATCTTTCAGCACAAGGAAATAGAATAAAGTCTTAGCAGCCATCAGTTCTTGGAAAATGTCTATAGAAATCATGAGCTTTGTTGTCCTGTTATCGTCGTTAAAGGATAACAGCTTAAACAGAAAAGAAATCTAGATTAACCATTTCTGACCGTTATAAATGGTCAAATCTCAGCTTTAAAAGAGGTCATATTTTTAATTGAAAAATACGAAAGCCTAACGATGCAACGTGATACACCAGTGCTGATTCATGGGCACTTGCAAAACACACGCACAACAAATAACGTAGCTTTTATACCTGCTTCCAAAATTGCTTGAGGTTATCCTCTATGCCGATCAATTTGTCCCTTTTCAAGAAAATGTTTGGTGCCCAAACGAGACAATTGCAATGGAACCAGAGATCTATGAATGTGTCTTCGTTCTGAGGTATCCGCGGCATGGCACTGCGGGTCTTCTTCAGGAAAGGGGGCCAACACTGAAAATCCAGCCTCACATAATATGGACCGAAAAGGTCGCCCAGCTGATGAGCCCACTGCTTCATTCCGCACAGGGCGCATGACGACGGGCCATCGATGAACTGACCATCTGTCGGCTTATTGGGCTTGTTCGCATAAGCATCTTCAAGTCTGGTCATCAGTTTGTCGTAACCCACCGGGTTCACCACCTCAAACCCGCCATCATTCTTACGCTTGAGGACCGGCTCTCGAAGACCATCGTTCTTCGCCAGTTTTTCCTTTGCGTAGGTTCGCTTCAGAAGATGGTTCTTAAGTCGTTCGTCTTCTGAGTCAGATTCGAACGCCTTCCTCTTGCGTCGCCGTCCTCGTCTCTTTCGAATCTTCCGCTTCTGCTTCGTCGCGAAAGACTTCGATTCATCGTTGGCGACGGGCCTCGGTTCCGTAGCTGCCGGTGATTCCTCGTCTTTCTGAGGGATAATATGAATTGTTTCGTCCTTTGGCGGTTCCTCGTTCTCCACCTCTTCTTTCTTCCTTAACGAAACAATAACTGCCTCCGGCTCAGCCGATGACACGCTGGTATCGTTGCCCTCTAGCAGTTTCGGTACACCACCTTCTGACATTCTCGGTTACCTATTATGACAAAACCTGCATTCAACAGATCAACTAACAAAATAGAATCTTAAGAAGTCCTCTTTTACC